GGTATTTTCTAATTCAAACGTCTGCTCACTTTCAGTCAAATAAAAAGAATGTGTTTCCATATCTGTTTTATAACAAACCGGTTCTAAATTTATTGACGGCAGTTCCCCAGTGTTTTTCAGAGACTTGAAACAGGTCACCAGCTTTGCCTGGTGTTTCTTTCATTACGTCTCGATAACACACTGCCACCAATGCCCTGAGTGGTTGCCCTCTAGAGATGTTGCCTGCCAAATCTTGGTTTAATTTGTTTTCTATGAGACCTGCTTGTTCAATAGTCAATTGAATGTCTAGTCGTTTAAATATTTTGTTTGTTTTAGATTTTGGCTTTTGATAAACAAAACGCTGATTGTATTTACCGCCTACGTTCTCCACTTTAAAGTCTGTATGAGGGGACAACAAGGCGGGATTGTGTAAACTAACAAAGTCACATCCTAAAATGCAGGGCAACAACAAAGGGCTTATTAGCATGGTTGCATAGCTGCCTGCACAGCTGCCTGCATACTGCTGTAGCTGCATAATTTGCTGCACATGTTGCTATACAATGGAAAGTTTGGCTAAACCACAAGAGGGCGCTTGCATAGCCCATTTATAGTTAAAAAGGTAACTAGTTTTACTATGAGGATGTAAAATGAAAGGAAAGGAAAGGAAGTTTTACAATGAAGATGTAGAATAAAAGGAAAGGAATTCCTTTTCAAACTCCCATGGTGGGACCAGGTGACTCCCCATCACACTCAACACTACAGAGGATAGAATGAATAAATATTTATAAGGGAGAGAAAGAAAGGGGAGGGATGAGCTCTTAATCACTAGTGCATTCAGTGCTAAATAGAGAACAGAAATTGAATATGTTATTAAGTTAGAAAAGTAAAGGGACAGGTGACCTACATATAACAAGGTCGACTGGTCACAGTTGGCTTCACTAAGCACAACTTTGAACTTTTTATTTAGGTATAGGATCGGTTTCCTGCTAGATGTACCATAGCTACAGGATAGACTCTTTTCCGGTAGGTTTCCTGATATAAAATAACCTCACTATCCCAAAGAATAGCGAGGCTTATAAACAGGGCTTACTATTATGTTAATTACTCTGAGTCGCTGCAGGTTATCACTGTCGGATCCTAGTAACGATTGCAATACTGTTTTATCCAAAATGACATGGAAATTGTTAATTTTTATAACGATCTTTTCGTTTCTATACCTGACGCTGGCCCCACAAGGTAACGATCCATGTGTGCCGTAGTACACGTCTTTGGGACAAATAAAAAACCATGTCACTAAGTTTACCAATATTTTTCTCCTGTTGATCTTGTGTTATTTGTTTTCCATGATTTCAAACAGCATATTTGCGTAATGTAACTTGACGTACATGCGGTTCTTGTCAGTGTAAGGCAGTTTAACCACCTATTTGACTTTTGCAAATTCGTCGTAGTAGTCTAAATCACGACTGGCTCTGTAAGTGTTGATTGTATTTGGTGGGATGTTTGACTTTTTGTCCGTTTGTGTACCGATTTATAAGCCATAAAGTTGATGTGATTGAGTATAGCTATCGTAGGATCTTGAAGTTGATAGCAGATTTGTTGCCCAGTGATGTTTTCGGGAGTTTTTCTTTGATGCCAAATTTATAGACATGATTGACGCCGTAGCAGAGTGTTTTTGGAAGCATGATCAACAGACATTTTTCTTAACTGTTGTGATTATGTGTTGCGTATGTTTGTCACTCTTTTTAGGGGCCTGTATACAACGTTTTAGTCTATGTTGCGGGCATTGAGACGTTCAGAGTTGTCAGTTACGATGTAAATTTGGTTTGACATGGTTTTGGCTTTATAGTACAAGTAAGTATTTTTTTTATTTTTTCTCTGCTTAATCTGCCACATCAATTAAACTTGCGTACACAGCATAAACGTCTCAGAGCATGGGTCACTCTTGTGGATTTTTTTCTACATTTTCATCATATTTAATTATTAAGCCAGATTCTTAAGTCAGATTCTCGCTCGGGATCGTCTGGTGTTCTTAGTATCATCTTCTTGTAACAACCATAGCCGCTATTGTCGTCATATACAAATACTAAATAAGATTCACTAGCTAAATTGCAACAGTTGATGCAACAAAAACAATTGTTACATTGTCACAATCGATACAGTTTACGTTCGATACAGTTGTCACAGCGCTTGCAGGTATCAGAATTATTGCAACTGAATTGACACAGCTTTCACAAGAATTTTCAAACTTGTCGCATTGAACACAATTGTCGCATTGGTCACAATATTTGCAATCAACGCATGTAACGCAATGTTCCTTGGTGCTTTCACATCCGATGCAAGTTTCGCAGTCAGAACAATCACGAGATTTTTCACAATTAGCACATTGTTTGCAATCGGCAAAGTATGAGCAATTTTTACAGTTAGTGCAATCTCAACATACTGTACAATTGGTACAATATTTACAATCTACGCAATCAGTACGTCAGTCGATATGAATAGAATTTAAACAATGATCGGAATCACAAGCATCTATCACGTCGAGAGACTTGAATGTGTTTTTGCAAAAGAAACAATTAATGTTGGTTTTTTGGTTTATCATCTCTTTATTATAGAGTAATTAAAAAAAATTTTCATTTTTTCTTGAAACCTATTCTTCTGATTCAGGGAGGGTGTTTTTTTTTCTTTTCCCGGGGTGACATAGATTTTTATACGGAGGTGAGAAACTTTTTTCATTTTTTCCGAGAGGGGGAAGTCCGGGGGAAAGGGGAGTCTTGGGAAGCCCAGGGGAGTAGGGGAACTCCCGGGAAGAGGGGTTTTTAGGGTGGTTTTTGGGTAGTTTTGGAAAAAGTCGATGTGGTATTCAGGGGGGTCAATGAGGTATAGGAGGAAAAGTGGTTGATCTGGAACTCTCCTTTGCATACTACTCTCTGGTCTCACGTCTTGCCACGTCAACTCCACGTCGACTGATGAGACTCCTGGTTCAGTGACCTGTTGTCCTTTCAAAGAGACCGGCCATTCTCCATCAGCCGAAATCCAGTATCTTCCATCCGGCACCTGAGGATCTTCACCTAATGTGCTGGACATTGTCCAATGATCCTTTCACTCGGTGGGACTTTCGAGTGACACTGCAGCCATGGCCACACGGGGACGATGTTTTTCCACCCACAAGGTGTACGACTGCAGAATATGGCATTTGACTATGTGGTGCGACGAACATGCTGTGGCTCCAACCGATACTCCTTTAAGAGCAGTCACAGACTTCATAATGTCATCATAACGGGACTTCAAGTTTCATCTGTAACACGTGCCCATCCAGGTGCATGCCAAGTTCAAACTCTGTCAGACCTCTATTTCTGCAGTAATGAATCTTTGAAAAATGCGCCTTCAGTGTATTGTCATGTGACACCTTAGGATGTCACAATGATGATTTTCTGTAGGAGAGTCTCTAGATGGTGGTCTAAGTTTGTACCAAGTTTAACCACTTGCCGCCAGGGATTCAGGTTTTAGACAAGTATTCTTTATTCTATATAATTAAATAACAAGTATTCTTTATAGGCGTGGCCGGGGTCTCCGAAATCGGACAAAGGGAACTGGGTCTTGTAACAAAAGACTGTACTCGGAACAAAAGACCAGGCTTCTGGAAATTACCAACAATATTTTACTCTCAATAGTGAAGATAATCCAGCCTTGTTTGAAACAGTATACCGTGGTTTGGGGCATTCAGCGCGAATGGATTACCACAGGGGACAAAAGCACTCCACCACCACAGCGATGAGCCACACAGTACCGCTGCATGCTAATCTGGCCCCTATTGAAAAGAGGTCAACACCCACTGTGCTAGTTTCATGAACAAAAGAAAATTACGTAACACCCCACAATCTGGGTTCTTTTAAGAAGACAGCAGGTCTGGCTGAAATACTCCAGCGTCAATAGATGTTGTCTGTCAGATTAGAGTAGAAACCAGGCAGTCCTTTGTGTGGGTGTAATGTCCAGTAAATGAAGATATGAATTTTGAAAGAAATTTGAAAACAGAAAAAATGAAAATTGCCCCATTCCAGCATCATCAACATTCATAGATGCCCCTAGCGTGATGTGGTTAAGATGAATATTGAGAAAAGTGTCAAATTCTGTGGTTAAAAATGTATCAAACCTGTGGGGAAAAATGTACCTTTGATATGGCATAACTGGACACCTGATGACGTCACGAAGACTGACTCCTTCTAGAATATTTGTGGATAGTAGTTTTGCCTACCCTATAAATTTCGTGTCGATCAAATCTTTCTTTAGAATATGACCAAAATATTGCATTTTTCAATGATGTCATCATGACATCACAAAATGTTAGAGACTACTTTAACTTCTGCTGTGCTTACCCAAGGTCATGCTAAAGAAATTTTGGAAAACATTATTTTGTTGAAAAGAATGTTAAAGCATGGAAAATTTAACATTTTATGACCACTAGAAGACATCATAAATTTTCATCTAAATGCGTCGTGTGTCTTGCTAACTTTCAATTAAATTAGACATAATTTTGTAGATACAGGCGTGCAAAGGATTTAATTTGCAGGCATGTCATGTGACCAGTGATGTTATTATAACAATTATCTTCGAAGACCATCCTTGGACAGTGGTATAGGTATATGTCTAGGTATAAGTTTGAAGGCAATCACATTTCCTAAAGTGCCAAAGTGCTATGGAGGAAGGAAACTTAATAACATGGAAAACAGGTTATTGTATACCATCTACTTAAAATCATCTGTTTGTGAGAGTGCCTTTAAACTCATTACCCCCTTTGACTGATATGTGCAGTATTTTTTTATAAAGATGGGAGTACTGTACATATTTACATTGTAATTCATAAATTTAAATTTTAGACAAACTTACTTAACTTGCAAAAGTTGAGTTTACCTAAAGGTGGATCATAATTCTGTGTGGAGTTTTGTGTTTGTCTTTCATGCAAGGACTTTTCCATGCAAATTTATCCCTATTTAAAAGAACAAATGATTCTTGATATTTTATAGATACCAACTGCTCATCAAAGCAGTAGATAATATTGTGACACAGGCAAGCCTTATTCGAGATCATCTTGGACTGCCAACAAAGGATGTAGAAATGCCAGATACAGATCAGAGTAAGTTGCTGTAATAGTTTAACACATTTACTATTCCTACAGGAAGCATGATACCAGTTTCCAATTCAGATATTTGTGTACTGTGCCTTTTTGTTTATCACCTATTATAAAGACCCTGTTATAAGTTACTCTAATCAGAAGTCGACAGACTTTTTCCCATGAAGTTTTGTTTGCAGGTGTCCAAGTGTATGATCAAGTAGCAGTTTGTTCATGCAGACTAGGTGACAGAAAAATTTATTTGAAAATTTTAAGTGAGAGTTTGGGAGAGTATAATAGTATGATGTTGCAAATTCGGTACATATACAGGTGTACATGTAATAATTTTTGCATGCATTGGTGCACATGGATGTGTATTTGGGGATGCGCAAGTGTATGTGTGTCGTATCGCAGAGTTTTGTGTGGGATCTTGTAGAAGCTCTGTTATGGATGTTGTTTTCTAAGGGTTTTGGTGCTATCTGATAAATACTAAAATAAAAATGGGATAAATAAATATTAAAATGAAAACAAGAGAAAACAAAAATCCATCAGGGTCCCTGCACCCTTCCATTGGATACACTACTGACCAGGATAAAGTAACTCTATGTAAAGCAGAATTACGATCGAAAAATTCTTCTGACTGTTCAAAATATTTTTAAAAAATGAAGGAAACAAATAACTTAACCAAACCAACACAGCATTAATGGAAAATTACTTTTAAAATACAAAGATGATATAAAACCTGGAACATAAAAATGAAAGAGAAATGTTGTTTCTCATTGGGAAAGCTGGACTTAATCTTGGTCCAATAAATGACCGCAACATTGAATGGGGGAGAAGAGGATCTTTTCACCGCACTTCCCACAAGGTGTTCCAACTTTTTTATCCAGGATTGTAGCACGTAGCTCAACACCCTCTGAAAAAATGTTGAATAAATCTACTAGTTGACTCTAGTCAAGCTCCTGTGACTTGAAGTGTCGTGACCAAAGTTATATCAATGTTGTGATAAGCTTCAGCCACCCTGCTCCATTCTGTGTAGCATGGACGGCCTGGTTGTGTTGAAGGCCAATGGTTTGAAGGTTGTCTTTGACTTGGGCAATGTAGGTGCGGCGAAGGCCGCCTCCTTGGTGAAAGGGTTTTAATGGTTGATTATGTGGGTCCAAGAAGATATCCAAAGGCACCTCCAGTCTTCAAAATGCGTGGCTGATTAGACGAGACGGCTTCTTAGCAGGATGGCAGTGGCAAGTGCTACCCCTGTGCGACCGTACAGGTCAATTGAAGACAGCCGAACCATAAAATTCAATAAATGAAGTTGTGATAATACATCTTTCGACAGCTCAGCACTGTTGGTGCAAAGTACAAGTAGTTCTTCTCACTCACATGCATAAAAACCAGACAAACGGGGGATAAAAATTTAACAATGAGAGCACACAAAAACAAGTCGCCATATGACGGCTTCATCCTGACATTTTAGCAAATGCCAAAAGGCATGAAACGAAATTTGCACATGTGGCAACTGTTTGGGTTGGTATCCCTAGCAGACTCTGCCACATTACTATAGAGGAGGAATATCCAGTTTTGGGGGTGGCAAATAATATTTCCCAGAAGATGCCACTTGTTACTATTAGATATTTTCTCAAGCAGTGGCAAAAAATTACTTGTTCATATCTTTTAGAATAATTTTAGCTGATTATATAAGTCAAAAACATACCAGAGTCTTCAAATGTGCAACTATGTCCTAAAAAAAAGAATGAAACAATAATACTGAGCCACTTTCGAGAAAAATGTTCAATAGTTTTGTGAATTTGGTTATAAAATGTATACGGCAGTCAGGACTAGTGGATTCAAAATGATAGCCCCAAATATGCGTGCTCTGAGGATTTATCTGAAAATCAAACTGATTTATTTCTTCTAAAAAGGCAAGAAAGAAAATCATGAACTTGATCTAAAGTACTGCATGTACTTCTTTTCTATTTAAAAGTGATAAATAAAATTGTTCATGAAAATAAAACAAGTTTATTGAAATTTATGGACAATGCACATCATGTGGTAGCAAGTTTTCTTGGGAACAGTTGAGAACACTCCATATAAACACACATGAAACCAAGATCACACATGTTTTTTGCAGCGGAGCTGCTTGCAGTTGGATATCCCTGTTTAAAGGTGGGGTACACCCTTGGGGTTTTTTTTTTTGAGTCACAATTTCATAAGAATGGCAGATTAAGGTTTATAACCACTTTGTGCTGAGGTGCCCAGAACCAGAGACTTTGGCTTTATAAGCAAAGCCAGGGTGCCCGAAATCGGAAAAAGGAGCTTGGCCATGTAGGAAAGACTATACTCAACAAAAGACTGGGCTGCTGGAAATTGCCAACATTTTTTCAGTTGTCAATCGCGGAGGAAATCCGTCATTGTTTTGAATGATTATACCAATTTTTGTGGTATTCAATGCAAGTGGATTACTACCAGGGACAAAATCGCTCTAGCGCTCCAGGGATGAGCGATCAATACCGCTGCACGCTAATCTGGTCCACATTTGAAAAGATGCCAGCAGCACACTGGGCCAGTTTCAGGAACAAAAGAAAATTATGTAACACTGCACAATCTGGGCTTTCTTTTCACGGTAGCAGGCCTGGCTGAAATACTTGGGCATGACTAGATGTCACGCCCTGTCTGTCAGATTAGAGTAGACACCAGACGGTCATTTGTGTGGGTATAAATGTCTAGTTAATAAAGTTATGAATTTGTGAAGAATTTTGGAAACAGAAAATCTTGCAAATCCCCCAGGAATACATCATGCAATTTCAAATTAAACCCGACAGCATATGGATAAGATTCTCTGCAACTTACATTCCACTTGTTTCATGTTTGAGTCGACTGCTTTTCGAAAACAGTGTGGCATTTTCAATGAATAAATTGAAGATCTTGTAATTTATCTTGCGTAAAATCAATGAAGTACTGGGCATTCATAGTAAGTGAACAACACCCGGTGTCATGGTGACGAACAGGCATGACAGGTTCTCTTTCCCTTTATGAAAGAGCAGTTTTCCACGGCCAAGAGTAATCATTGAATTTACCTTAGAGTAGTGTGCCTCCTCAACAATGTATGAAAAAATTCATCCAGGAGTGAAGTACATGTATGCAAGATGTATTTTTTTTTTTTGCGTTGGGGAGATGTTAATTTTTTTGTAACGGGTTTTACCTTTACCCAACATATATTA